CAGCTAAAAAAGAAAATCAATCCTGCTCGATAAGACCAATGCTCGACTCGTCTCCGCTCGTTTGCAGCCCTACCTAGGATAACATTAATAGTCATGAAAAAAAAAGTGGGAAAAATAAATCTTGGGGGCAAAAACGGATTTAATAATTAAAGTGGATATATATAATATAAAATAATAGTATACATAATAACTAAAAAAATGTAACAAATTAATAATTAAGTAAAATTTGTTATAAATATTATGAGCATTTATAACTTGAAGAGGTAAATAGATAAACTATTTCTAGATTATACATTTTCTAGTTAATTAATTAAAAAAAAAAGCTTCATTTTCAAGCTTCCAAAAGGAACATAGAGCTTGTCCTTGAAGATCAAGGAAAAAAAGCTAGTATTAATTTGGTCATGCTACTGCACGCTTTTTTGACAAAATAGGAAAAGCAACAACTTTTTATCCGCTGCTTACTAAAGCTTACATAATAATAATTGGACGTTTTGGAGTTGGGGATTGGTTAAGGGCTATTATTATTATTTGTATGAGATTTTATTAAAAATTTTGTTGTATTAAAGATAGATTTTTTAATAATTTATAATAGTCTCGAGTATTCATTTTAAATTTAAAAAAAATAAATATTTTAAATTCTCGATTTATTTAATTTATTTGAAACTAAAATTTGTCAAATCTGATTAGATTTCAATAGTATTAGAACGGGGGTTGAGGGTGCGGTCCCACCAGATGAAACGCATCATAAGAAGGTGAACCTACGTGCACCTTAGTAAGGTTTTACTCCAAAACCAATTAGTGATGAGAGAAGTAGCCAACTAGGCTTATAAACTAAACTCGTTTACCCTATAAAAATTAATGTGAGACAACTACAAGTGATAAACAATAAGCCTCCTCACTTGTGAGTCATTTGTAAGTCTAAGCCCAGAGTAGGCCGAGTAGAGAGTGTCATTGCAGATCCTAATCAATGTGAGACAACCACAAGTGATAAACAACACGCTCTGATACCATATTAGAACCGGGGAAGAGGGTGTTGTCCCACCAGAATAAGCGCACCATAAGAAGGTGAGCTTATGTGCACCTTAGTAAAGTTTCATCCCAAAATCATTTGGTGATGGGAGTATCCTACTAGGTTTTTATAAACTAGATTCGTTTACCCTATAGAATCAATGTTGGATAAATCACAGGTGATATTTCAACAGATAGAATAAACTATATACGAAATATCACATCAAAAATCAGCTCAAGATATATGGTTATTATTGAGAAATGAAAATTCCAAAATGAAGAAATATTATTTAGGGCAAGCAATTTATTTTATGTGTACATACATTGAAAATATTAATTGTATTGGTGTGTTTTAGGACAAGTAGGCATATTTATGATCACTTGTTGTCATGACAAACGTCCCAATAATTTCATAAATTTGCGGGGAACACGCTTTATTATATCATAGGGATATAAAGCGTGCGTCCAAAGGGTTAAGGCCCATCACAAATCATGCTTATATGTGTGTCCATTTTTCATGTAATTAGCTTAATTAGGTATTCTTTGTTTTTCATAGAGACGAAAAATAAAATGACAATGTGAAAGTTGTTCTTAATTTAGTAGAGTGCTTTTAAGTGATAATGATTCTCATTTAATGACTAAAAAATGACAAAAAAGAATTGGTTTATTTTTCAAAATGATATAGAAGATAGGGAAATGTTACGGTTCTGTTACGAAACTATTCCGTCGGGATTTATAAATCGTCTGTAACTATCGAAAAGAGTTGATCTAACGGTTACAAACCCCGACATAATAGTTCTATAACGAGACCGTAGCATTTCCCTAGCAGATAACTCGAATTCACTCACACCTTCAAAGTTTCCTTGTTGACAAAGTTTCATACTGAAACTGGATTTGTGGTGGACCACAAGACCCTCCAATCAGCACGTGCCAAGTGGCACTTATCACCCGTGCCATATTCTGTATGGATGGATGCCATTTAGTCTATGTTCCCCATTTTAACTAGTCATCCCAAAAATACGTTCAATTTCAATAATTTGGACCATTTTGACTCCGACTTTTCATTAAAGGAAATAAAATAAAAAAGATAAAACACGTAATTAAAAGTTTCAGCTATTTAAGGTAACGGCTATAAAAATTAGCCAATTTTTTTTTTAGAACTGAAAAATGTCATTTTAGCGTGTGGTAGCACGAGAGGTTGGCAAGGAAGAATAATTTAATTAACCCATAATTTTCTTAATTGTTTGTACTAATAATAACGAATTTACTTCAATTAACCATAATTTTCTTTATTTTTTGTACTAATAATAACGAATTTACCAAAACATACCTATTTTTGAAATTATAACTGTCACGTAAGTCATCATATCTAAATAAGTTATCGTGCAGTCAATAATTTGATGAAAAAAAAAATCCTGAATTAATGGGCGTTTATAAAAATAGTAGTATATAATGTCCACAGTTTTGCTATGGAGCCATCGAATGGCTCGACTTATGGAACATCCCCACTTATTCACCAATAGTGTATTGACACGTGTCATACAATAAATACAATTAGAACAGGTGGCAATACATTATGTGGTGGATGACTCCACAAGAAAACTATCCGATGGCTCCATAGAATTTTTGATAATATCCATTAATTTATGTTACTATAAGAAATAGTTCTCAAAGTCTGGGATAAATAAACACTGACACGCTGTTTTATTTCGGTTTTGGTTCTTTGTAAGAGCTTGATTGATAGTTACAATAATCTCAATAAAGTTTTGGCAGTCAAAAGCTTAATAATGTAGTTTTATCACTTTATGAAACATTTTTGGCATTAATTTTGGTTCATTATTGTTGGAAAATAATTCTGATAATTGTTTTCTTTTTCCGCTATTTTTCGTTATACTTTGCATTAATTAAGTAATTATTTTTTATTTATTTTATTACATAATAGTTACTACTAACTTATCATAAAGTCACATGAAACGATATTTTATTGTAAAACTCTTTTTTTAAATGTTATTATTATTATTGTTGTTGTTTTCAGCTCATAAAGCAATTTTTTTTACTAAAATTAGTTAATTATTTTTCATGACATAATCAAACTCTTTAAAATTTCGTACATAGTTGCTATAATAATAATGTTAATATTTTTTATTTAATAAATTGGTCATAATCAGTTGTGATTGCCATTATTGCAATCAATATAAAAATTAATAATGTGAAAGTTAAATAGTTTATATTTTATCATTCGTTTTACTAATGATAAAGTTATAAATTGTACTCACTATCTAACTCAAGTGATTTTAAATATTACATATACACACATATAACATAATAAATTTCATTTTTTATTTGTACATATGCACATAACTACTGCGAGTTTTGCTTGATCGAATACTAGTTTTGCTTGTGTTTGGCAAATATGCTAATAATAATTCATAAATAATAATGCGAACAATAATATATATTCATACTATAAAATTGCATTCTTATCTACGTGTTGATTGTATTTCACTGGTCTCAAAACTGTCGAAAATTAAGACAACAGAAAAGCCCAACAACCACAATTTTTCAACTCGGACTAACCCGGCAAGTCGCCTCGGAACGAGCCCGGTCAGGGTGGGTGCTTCGGACCAAATGACTGCAGACCCGGGTCAAATCCAGTCAAAAATCCGGAGGCTTGCCTGAGTTGATTCTCGGACCGGGTATAAAAACTATGCCAACAACGATATAAAAACAGAACCGAGCTAGACATAATTAGAAAAGACAGCCTTCATAGACACCAAACTCATAGAACCAAAAATTGCTCAGCTGCTTAACAGTAAGGACAAATATTTGATAATGAACTGACATGAAACAGCCCCAACAGTTTAACTAACACCAACTGCACTCTGTCTTCAAAGAACAATGTACACATTTGCTCCAAAAATTAGTTATATATATACTCGTTTTTTTAAAGACATTCATGAAGCAGTTCGGGTAAATCGTTTCATTTTTTTTTTTCTTTTTCATTCTGCGCAAATGCACCTAATCTCGGTAATCAAAACTTGACAAAATCATCACTCGTAGATGAAACCAATTAATCATCACTCTTCAGTAACTAAGAAGAGCAAGTGCCTAATTTACAACTGATGACTAATTTTTATTACAGGAAATTATGACTGAAGTGTAAAGTTTCAAGCGGGTAAATGTTACAAGGAATTTAGGTATGTAAGCTAAGGTCATTTGAGTATTAAGTTCATCTCCTAAACAAACCTGAAACTGGAATTTAGGTATGTAAGCTAAGGTCATTTGAGTATTAAGTTCATCTCCTAAACAAACCTGAAACTGGAATCACGCGACTAATGTTTCCAACATAACCCAATCACAAACCAAAAGTAACAGTAGTAACAATTTGCAGCACATTTTTACCACATTATAACGAAATTATATCTGGAAACACACAAACTTCATATGGTTTGTACGTATGATCTTCCAAAAGTGCCTCAATAACTTGACCAAGAGCTCTTATTAGAACCTCAGACATAACATTTCAAAGCCGAAAGCAAACAAATACTAGAGAATCCACAAAACTCAGAAAGTCGTCTACATATCGTTTTTTTTTTTTCGATATAGAATGTCTAACATGGAAAGGAAATCAAGATAAACTAAACTTCACTATTGATTACCTGCAATGTGAAGACCAATCAAGATAGAAGGCTATGCTGGACGGCAAACAAATTCAGCAGTTACACATCTTCCTTTCTCATCGTAAATTTGGCCTATGACCCAATAGCTATGTCATCTATATGCCTAAAGACTCTTACAAACAAGAAATGATGTGCTATTGTGCTCTGAAGTCTGCTAATCCAATTTGTTGTAAAATTCAAAATTTTCTGTCGATGAGTTTCAGATGCAATTATGTAATTTAGAAACCAGTTCCCGAACAGGATTGAATCGGACACCTCAAACCAAAATCACTTTTCTATGCGTGAAACTCGGAAAAAGGGTTTCTACACGAATTACGCAGATTTCAACTTGGCCGATGTGTTTGCAAGATAGGAAAGCGTCTTGTGCCCGACAAACATCAAGAACATTCCCAGTACACCCAGTGCCTTCAATGTTGTGAACAGATCCAACTGCAGAGTAGAAAAGAAGAACTTAAAACAATACATATAATGGGAGCTTCGGTATTTAGATAAAACTAAAATGTTCACAGAGGCCTAAATAGTAAATTCAGATTGGCACAGGCTACAGTGGATCAGAATTTCAATTAATGCATTTGATCTACTTTTTCAGGAAAAATGATGTATATAATTGCAGAATGAAGTGAAAAGTTTTAAGATATTGGATATGCAAAAACAGAAGAGAGGCAACATCAATTTAATTGAAATTTTCTAAAATTCAAACCAGAGGCAACGAACACATACCTTGAACCAGAAGAGCGCGTAGAGTGTGAGAACTGCAGCAATGCCCATGTGGAAGAGAATGGCAAAAGTCGCGGGAACAGTAGACTTGGGCAAATTCTTGAGGTTAGCACGAAGGTACACAAGCTGCAGAGGAAGAAAAGAAGAAAAAAAAAAAAAAAAACAGCTTTAGGGGGTCTCTTGGGATAAAATAATGCAAGGAAGAACAGTAATAATGTATAATTAGAAGGTTACCCCAGCCAAGAAACCGAAAAATGGCAAGAGAACTAAGCCCAAGAAAGCAAGTGAAAGCTCTCTAGGGGGACGTTTTTCTGGAGCTCTGAAAATGTGAGCTATCTCTGCCTTAGGCTCATATCTAGAGTATGGGTCAACAGGTTGTGCAGGAGGCCGGGCAGCCTTTTCAGGTGCATCAGGAAGATCCAATTCAATGTGACCCAGAGCTTGTAAGAAAGAGTTTTCCTGAATGTACAGAACGCAAGATCAACCATGTGATACATGTAAACGAGCAGATGATAAAGATTTTCAAAATGTGGTACTCTTGATTCATAAAGCATCTACCATGACTGAGTCTCCAACTGTAAGTTGAATGTCATATCTCCCAGACAAATAGAAGAATTTCTCAACCAGACCCAGAAAATCCTACAATAAATATGCAGTTAATATTAGCAAAGGTCCATTGAGCTAATGATGAATGTCTGAAGTTGAAGAATGTATTTATGTCTATGTTTGGTAGACAATTAAGCTAAGCTTACAGCTTATTTGGTTAGCTTATAAGCTCCCTGTATTCAAATAAGTCTCGCTTGGTAGGACAAGCTTTTTTAAAAAGCTCGAGCTTATTTGATAAGCTTATTTAGGTAGCTTTACAAATAAGCTAGTTGAATTTTTCAAATAAGCTAATTTTACCAAACACTTTTATCATATAAGCTAGCTTTTCAACTATAAGTCATAAGCTATAAGCTCGAAAATTTCTATTAAGTTATAAGCCAGCTTATCAACTATCAGCTAGTGCATCAGCTAGTTTTACCAAACATAGCCTATATCACAAGCAGTTGCTAGTAAGATTTCACAAACTAAATACTACACAATATGAATATAAAAATTGAAGATATTTAGATAGGAATAATAATATAAGAATACTGACATAAACTACAAATCAGAATATGATGACTGAAAGGTGCGTCGAGATGGGAGCATAATTTAATTTGAAGTACAGAAGGTTGAGAAAGTAATAGAGCACTTAACTAGTACTATCTCAGATTTTTTCCCCGAGTTCCCCACCAAAAAGATGTGTTCAACTCCACTTACATGTCTCAGCTTGAGGAATGCCTAAATAGAATAGCACAAAAATACATTAGTACTCACATCACATGATTAATAAAGAATATAGTAACATGAGCAACTATTAGACCAACCTGATGAGGCTTGAAGGCATTTCCAAATGGACTAGTCAAGCTAAAGGTCAACTTCAACTTCTGGAGGTGATTAGCAGACAGAGCAACAGAGTTCTCTCCTGGTAAAGCCAGCCTGGATAAATAAATAAAAAAAAAGGCACCCAAGGTTCCATTCTACATAGTGTAAGTTCCTAAAAATGAAAGCTTTGGATCATATATAATTAATTAATAGGATATTTAAGAGATTTAAAAGGGAACCAAGCAAGAAATAATTCATCAGTTGCCAGAAAAAAAAAAAAAAAAAGATGAAAAGAAACTAACCAAAACAAAACTTGCCCCTAGTCCACATAATTTCGTACAAAATATGAAACAACACAAGTTATGGTGTTCAGTGTTGATAACTCGAGAAATTTTTTAGTAGAAAAGGGAAAATTGAGAACATAACATTGAGACATTTACATAGTTTTAAACGGCGAATGGCAAAGCGAGGCGATACGCCCATAGCCTCGCCACGTGGCGAGGCGATTCGCCATGGCGAGGCCTCGCGAACACAAGCCATCAAAGCTTAAAAAATATATATATACAGATAGTAATATCATATATTTAAGTCTAAGTGCCAAAATAATCTTAAATATCCTAAAAAAATTACATAAATTAAATTTAGTTGTAATTATTAAAAGCATCTAAAACTTAATTGTGAATACTAGTAATAAGGTAAATAAAAAGTGTAAAGTAAAAGAAAATGAAAGAAAACTGTCACCTTTGACTATTGACAAAACTAGTAAACATAAATAAAGAAAAGAAGAAAAAGATAGGCGGTGGGAACGAGAAAACAGAGAAAGAGAGAAGGAAAAGAAAGGAAAAGGCACGCATCGCCGACCGTCTCTGCGGCCGTGAGATGGTGGCCGGAGTTCAGAGAAGGCCTGAAATGGGATGGGTCGACCATGGGTTTCTGCAATATTCAAATCTGAGAAGCCTAAGGAGTTCTTTCGCAGAAACCCTAGTTCTAGTTTGGGGAGAAGCCATTTAGGGATTTTTCACTGAAGTTCTTTTGCTTCGTGGATCTGGGAGATGAAGTGAAGAAAGAGCTCGATCTGTATTAATTTATTCTCTTTCCAAAAAGTGGCACACGCTTTTCGTTTTTTTTTTAAATGGACAGCGCCTTTAATTTCTCTGGAAGGAGCCGAGGCGCGCCTCACAGGCCTCTTGCCACGCGAAAAGGCGAGCTGAGGCGACCTGAAGCGAGCGCCTCGTGAACAGGGTCGCCTCAGGCTGTGGCGAGGCGATATGGTCCTCGCCTCGAGGCGTCGCCATTTTAAACTATGGACATTTAATTAAACCAAGTATGAGAATCCACATACGAAAAAGAATCCAGGACAATAACTAATTAAGAAAAAGAAAAAAGATAACAATTATTATAAATAGATAAGTTAAGAATGTACTTAGTCTTAGTTTCCACACTCCCAAAGTCACTGTCAAGTATTTCAATCTCTGCATTCTCGATCTTAATGTCTCCAGTCACATGAATAGGTACTTTTGTCCTCCCTCCAGTAGCATAGCTTTTCTTATGTTCTGGATCCTCAAATACAATCTAACGATTGTGAAGTAACGATATCATTACATGACAGGAAAGAGAAAATTGGCTATACTGAACAAAATCAGAGGATATTAAGGGCGTGAATAAAAGGGAAAGTTAAGCACCTCAAAAGAAAAAATATATTTTCCAACATCAACATCTGTAGGCAATGTTTTCAAGACATGCACTGCATTCTCAGGGTCAAATTTCAGCTTCTGCATTATGAAAAATCATAAGCATTATTGCTTAACATGCATTAAAGTTAAAACATGACTGATATAACCACATACAATATAGAAATCTAACTTCCTACACTGCCATCTATTGAGAAGGTAGAGCACAACAGATACCTGGTTAATGATAGAAGCATCCTTAGAGCCAGACACAAATATCTGCTTGAGGTTCACAGACAGAGGCGGAGCAGATGAACCCATCACAGTACTGACCCTAACCTGAAAAACAGAGTGTTCATGAGCTGGATAACTTGGCCTGCACAAGCACAGCATTCTGAACAGAAGACTCCAATTAAACATATAGTCCGCTCTATGAATTGTCTTAAATTAACTATAGGCCTGTTCAATAGATTTATCTTAAATAGTTTTGAGCAGGCAGCAATGAGTTTTGCAACATATCAGATGCAAGCTAAAATAAATTTATTCTACACCTGTCAATATCAAAGAACCAAAACAACAATCTTATCAAAATAAGTAGGAAATGATGGGTAATATATTGGTCAATCAATTTCATTCGAGCAAAAGATTATGAGGCTGGCAGACCTTAAGTTGATCTTTCTTGGTCACCGAAAGGACAGTGGCTGGAAGTGACAAAACAAGAGGAATTGATACCCTGAAACAAGTATAAAATGATGAGTAATATATTGGTCAATCAATTTAATTAGCGTAGTTTTAGAACATTAACAAGTATAAAATGTAACAGGAGCAACTGCATTAAAAAAAACTTTTATAATGGAATGCACATTCAGAAAGTAATTCATAACAGAATCATATGGAGAGGTAGCAAACATAGGATGGGGCAAGGGGAAACACAGAAAGAAACCTGTGAGTAGAAATAACTATGTGAATACTTGCCTAATGTTTTCCAAGCATGCCAACGCATCAATTTGGTAATACAAGTCTTTGGCACTCCCAGGAATTCCAACACCAAGGAAAAACTTTGCCAAACCCAAAATTTTCTCCCCTGGAAGCTGCAATTGTTAAACCACTAGATTCAGAATATCTTGAGGAAGATATAATCAATACACACACACACACACACACACACAAAAAAAAAAAAAAAATGAATAACATACATTTAAATTTTCGTTGGTGACTTCCACAAAAGCTGTGATTCCACGGACTACTGATGCAGAAGCTGAAAGAGGACCTCGGTGGCTATGCGCATCAACAAGCTTCTCATCGAAATAACAAGTCCCATCATCTAAACAACGCAAGCACGGAAAAAAATAAAAAAATAAGAAAAAAAGGTTGTATAATAATTTGAACACAATAGCGGACCTCAATCTTTCCATACAAATTTGGATTTGATAAGACATAACAAAGGCAAGTTTTTGCTAGTTTTACTGTTGGACCTTGGACTCCTCAGATAGAATAGAAAACTAAGTATGAAGATAAAAAAAAAGAACCTATAAAGTATATGAGCCAATACTGTGGCATCAAATTCAAATGACAGTTGGGACCAACCAAAATTTGAGCATAGCAAAGTCTGATAACATAACTAATTTTCCATCTGGAAAATGATACTATGAAAATAAGGAAAAATGAATAACATGTGCAAAGCGAAAAATTGGGCTTTTCCTTTTTGGTAAAACGTATTTGAGAATGGGCTTTTACAATATAGCATTTGAAAAAAAAAAAAAA